AATCTTTCAAGAAATGACTTTAATATCGTTGTAAAACAGTTTTTAAAAAGCTCCTGAACTGTATCATCATAAGGGAAAACGATATGCAAATAATGAAATTCAAGAGCCAATTAGAGCTAACCAACAGCTTAACTCTGGAAGTTCAGCGTATTGCATTTTTCCCCGTTTATTAGTTATATTATTCATAAAAAACGACTGTAAACGCCTGTTGTGTGGTACCGCTACACTGTGAATGTATCCTTGTGTTCTTTAAATTCTAGCGTTATGTCGCCCGTTAAGTAAGAGCTCGTATGTATGAGACTATTTTACTGGTGTGTATTCACATTTAGCCGTGTGCATACTCAGAATGATATTTGTAATACTCGTATTCTTAGTAATCTTGTAGAGTTTTATTATTTTATTAGCAACAGAAATTCAAACTTACAGTATCTGTAGCTCAGGGAGATTTGAAAACGCCCCAGGCGAAAGCTGTGCAATTTTGTTGTTGTATAGGGATCTGCAAAAACAAGTTATTTTAATGTACTTCATGAGAACAATAATTTATATGCTACAAATATGTATTTTCTTGAAGCTCCAATTTTTAATGGAGAAGACGACGTAAGCCTGACTAGAAAGAGGCGATCAATTTTAGGGAAACATTCTTTACGCATCGTGGTAAATGTAGTCAGGTACGTAGTTAGAATAAATTCAAGAGCTTCAGCAGCCTCTGTAATTAAGGAAAAAAAGCTGTCTTAGTATATAAAGAAATGTTCTGAATTCTGAATAATTTTCTCAAAAAATCTTTCAAGAAATGAGTTTAATCTCAAAGTAAAACAGTTTTTAAAAAGCTCCTGAGCTGTAGTAGTTCTCTAAAAAAGAACGGAGTTTAAAGAACCCCAGTTTTGGCTTCACGCTCGGTCGCTTAGAATAAAAATTAAAAGGTGCATTTGGTTTTCGGCTTTACAACGATTATATCAAGCATGAAGGTTTCAATACGTAGATCGTATATTAGTAGGAAGCTGACAAATCTCATTTTTCTGGTTGTTCTAATTACTCCGCTTGAAGGCTTTAAGTGAATGACCTTATTTCGCTGATTCTTTGGCAGAAAAAAATCATTGCTATCAAGAATTCGAATTTAGTAACTCAATTCGACATCGTCGACATTTAATGGCATCTTAATTTACGACGCGAACCCCTTAACAGTTTAGCAATGATTCTTAACGGACCTAGTAAATTATGCATTACGTAATAGTAATTTTACATGTAGTTACTTTGAGAGCAAATATGTAACCTTACTCGACTATAGATATACGATCAAATTTAGAGTTTGTGTTTCAAGACTAAAAGCTAAACACTGCAGCTGAATTTTGCATTTTCAGAATATGATTTTTTCCCACGCTATCGGCCATACTATACAGTCTTTCTTCTTTATAACAATTTCGAGGCTAAAATCTGCGAAACTTGAAGAATATTGTGGGAAAACCTGAGGCTGAGATTTTCAGTAAGATATGATTTTGTCTTGAAAATCTGATAATGAAGTACAATTTATGTTTTTAACTTAAGTTATATAATTATTCCTTTCTCCAAACCGAAAAACTAACGAGTAAACTTAAACTGTACTGACTAAAGCCAAATATTCAAGGCTAATAACAGTTCAATGAACGGAAATCGGCGGAAAAATAAGAGTATTCAGCCTGCGCCAGAAAAACAACATTCATATAAAAAAGAAAGAGTTTAAATAAAAAAATCGACTGTTAACGTCTGTTCGTGTAGTACTGCTGCAGTGTGTGAATTTCAGCCGTTCAGTTAAAACCTGTACCTGTACACACAAGTTACGTTACTCGTGTGTAATTATATGTAGCTATGTAGTTTTTATGATATTCATGATAATCGATATACTTAGCACTCGTGTAGTGTTTTAGTCTTGGTCATTAGTAACGAAAAAATAATACAAAAATTTAAACTTACAGATCCCATAACTTAGGGAGATTCGAAAACGCTCCAGGAAAAAGCTGCGCAATTTCGTTGTTGTAAAGTTTCCTGCAAAATAAGTTATTTAAAGCATTCACGATGATACTTTACCGGTAGTACATCAACTGTAACTAGTGTTGAGTTTCAGCTTTTCTTTTGCAGACTAGCTCTAATTTCTCTTATATGTACTTTGCATTCTCCCAGGTTTTGCTCGAAACATTTAATAAAATGTGGACAAGGTTAAACAGCTGAAATATATCGATAAAAGCACCGAAGACCTTATTTCGTAGTAAGTCACTTCGTTGTTCGCTTAGTTTTTTAACTTTGCGAAGAAGAAAGCAAAGTAATATACAGTGATGCTGATAGAGAGATAGAGGGAATTCCTGGCGATTTTTCCCGTTTATAATTATTGTCCCTCGGACACTCAACGTATCATCATAAGGGAAAACGATATGCAAATAATCAACTTTAATGGACACTTGTGCTAAGAGCCAGTTACGGCTAACCAACAGCTAAACTCTGCAAGTTCAGCTTATGACATTTTCCCCAGTATATTAGTTATATCATTCATAAAAACGACTGTAAATGCCTGTTCTGTGGTACCGCTACAGTGTGAATGTATCCTTGTGTTCTTTAAATTCTAGCGTTTTCTCACCCGTTAAGTAAAAGCTGGTCAATGTATAAGACTATTTTACTGGTGTGTATTCACATGTAGCCGTGTGCATACTCAGAATGATATTTGTAATACTTGTGTTCTTAGTAATCCTGTAGAGTTTTATTGTTTTTATTAGCAACAGAAATTCAAACTTACAGTTTCTCTAGCTCAGGAAGATTTGCGAACGCCCCAGGCGAAAGCTCTGCAATTTTGTTGTTGTAAAGGGATCTGCAAAAATAGGTTATTTTAATGTACTTCATGGGAAAAATAATTTATACGCTACAAATATGTATTTACTTGAAGCTCCAATTTTTAATGGAGAAGACGACGTGAGCCTGATTAGAACTAGAGGCGATCAATTTCAGGGGAACATTCTTTACGTACCGTGATAAATGCAGTCAGGTACGTAGTTAGAATGAATTCAAGAGCTTGCCTCTGTTATTAACGAAAAAAGCTCCTCAGTAGAGACAGAAGAGTGTTCTCGTTCATTTTTGTTTTTTTTTTTTGCTGCCGCTCATTTTGACTTTGCATTGGTGGCCGCTAGGATGCAAATTTTAATAGCGCAATAACTTTACAGTGTTAATTTTTATATTTAAGAATTTTTCAGTTTTTTGAAAAGTCGTACGCCCAAAGAATTTGATTGAATTGCTTAATCGAATTGATGCAAGGAGCGTTTAAAAACTTAATGTTTATTCTTGCGCAGCATATTGTGGAGCAATCACCACACGTCTCTTGTCAGGCAGTTGAAACAGTACCTAACATTTAACATTTTCTTAAGCAGAGTCGCCTGAATTTCCCGTACATATACAGTCGACTCTCGCCTTGTGGACACCTCGCTATTACAGACACCCGCGAATGCGGACAAAAGCCAGCCCCCCGGAGAAACACATAAAGAAATGACTGAAACAAACTCCCACTATTACGGACTCTCGCTATTACGGAAATGCGGACACTTTCCTGCCCCCAAGCGCGACATTTCACTTGTTTTTTCTCTCGCTATAGCGGACACTTGAGTACTTCGTCAAAAATCCTCGCGTAACATAAAGAATAAATCGACGTTACAATAAAGGAAAAAATGACAAAAAGTACTATCGACCGTTTCTTCGTAAAAGAGTAAACAAATGACTCCTGTACAGCATTTTAGGGAGAAAAGACATTGCCATTAAAGCTCACAAACATTTTGCGTTATTTTTTAACACTCTACTGTAAAAATCGTTAGACAGGTTTCTAGCCATTCACGTTATACTGGAGGAGTTTCCGTTTGGTTTTTTTTAAGCCGTTTCTTATGTATCCCTTGTCATTGCAGGAGCTTGGAAGTGATAATACAGCATATTTCGTTCTATTTACAATCTTATTATCTTTAATCTTTCATGGTCCATAGTAAAAAGAGGTAAAGAATTATCGAAACTACAATGCCTCTGGGACTTTTACATATTATTTCATAAGTTAAAGAGCAAACAATTTTTTTCTCTCGTACCCCGCTATTACGGACTCTCGCTATTACGGACACTAAATCTTCCCCCCGAGGGGGTCCGCAATAACGGGAGTCGACTGTACTTTGCGTTCTGGAAGCTTTACCTGAAACATTTAATTAAATGTGGACAAGATTATATTAAACAACTTAAATAATATCGATTTAAGCCAGAAGACTTCATTTCGAAGAAAGTTTCTGATGTGCCGTCAGCCTAGTTTTTGTTAACTTCGCAGTGGAGAAATTTATGTACGATACAGTCAGGTGGCTGATAGAGAGAGAGAGGGAATTGCCAAAACTGTTTCCCGTTTTGCAATTGTTGTTCCTCTGACACTCAGTGTGCCACCTGCACAAAGACACTGGCCAAAAACCACCGAAGGCTACGCTGTAATTCCTGTTCAATACTACATCATAATACTGCGGCCAAGTTAAACCGACAAAATTTAAACGGCAATTTCAATCCACAATAACAACTTGGATCTGCCCACGATGCGTTACAAAATCGTTATTGGCGGAATTACCGACGACAGGCATTGGGAATACTATAGTTAGTAGTAATGCTTCAGCAAAGATAAGCCCCGTTAGTGTCTAGCACGGTCTAGCTAGGTCTAGTCTATGACGTCACCGATTGTTATAACCTGGGGAAAAAGTGGATTCCCTTTATTAATATGTATAAGTGTCTTCCTGCATACTAATTTGGATTAGGTTTACTAATGAGCGTCACTCTACTACAATAGGAACAATAGGCTTGCCTAGACTTGCCCGGGCTCTTTTAACCCTGATTGGATAGTAAACAATCTATTATGTGTTCAACATAAAAGCGCGCTCTCCGTTCAGCATTTTATTCTTGCAATCGCTTTGTTAAGAAACAGTTTGTCCGAGTTCGCTCGTTTTGAGAAAACCTTTATTCACTTTTGGAACATCATGGCTTTTATTACCAACGTTCGCGAATTTCAAGCTCTTTTGGATGGTTGTTCCTCGACCCACGATTGGGAATTATTGCTGGAATCTATTTTGATACCCGATGAGTGGATCCCAATGGCGTATGCTCGGCTTTCGGAACTCGCAGCCCAAGAGATACCGGTAAGTATTCTATTCCGTCTCTGAGTTCTCTCCTGATGACGGTTTGCGTTTAATTTGTACGTTGAAATAACGAGTATTCATTAATCTTTACTTAACGTTCTCTCCCACAGACTGAAATCAATCAGGACACGGGTAGTGATGAAGTCAACGATCTACTGAGCGATTCGGTAAGTTTTCCAATATGTTATGTCACGAAGTGTAAAAAGTTCACGCATCATTTATGTCCGTTATGTTAATAGACTCGACTTGGGTTAGATTTGCATTTGAACTATTAAACTAAATCGCGTATCTTTTGTTATCCTCGTTAAAGAAACAAAAGGACTCCAAACTAGATTTGCTTCAACTTTTTGTAGACAGTTGTCGTATAATACTCATCGAATATGTTTCCTTGCTTTACAGTTTACAACTGAAGAAATGCAGGCCGTAAATGAGATGGAACGTATGGCGCTACACAAGGTAATTCCATTTCCTTTTTAATACGCATCGTACATGAATTTTTTAGTGATAAAACAACATTACGAATCTCCTTATTCGTTCAATGCCCACCTATTTCTTTAAAATGAGCGAGATTTCAAAACCTAAAGTAGTCTGATTTCTTCTCTTCTTATCTAGAATAACAACGAGTCGGCACCGTTATCACCGCAAGATACACGGGATAATATTTTTGATGAGGTAAGCATTCATGATCATAAAATTATTTTTCTCTCACGGAATTAAGTTTGCACTATTAATTGTTCAATCACTCATGTGTATATTTGTGTTGTTCATTTTCAGTGGACTGGCGAAACCAGTGAATTACCGACTTGGAACCCGTCGGAAACCGTAAGTCATCTTTCATGTTCACTTGTTTAGGATACCCCATGTAGAAGTGCAAACGTTCCTATTAAAGTTTTTGAAATGTATACCTTTTAAAAACTAAATTGTTTAGGTTTACCAAAAAAGACAATATCATTCACTCCATCGTTTATAAGAGTCGGAAGAATATAAAAGTTACAGTTGGCTTACTAATTATGGTTTTGAAGGCGTAAATAGTTTATTCTTGATCGATTCCCCTTTCCACTGATCACATAAGTGAATTCGTTTTTTGCGGATGATTGCACCCATATTGAAATCTATTCTATTCTTTTGTTGAAAGCATTTGCTCAGTGTAGTAATATTCTTCAATCATCAAGCCGAGTTGAAGAAAATAGACAGCGTATCATATTTACTCAAACAGGTATCAGAGCAATTTAAGCTATTTCCACTAAGCAGTTGATTATAGCAATATAGCAGAGTTATAATAGTACCCATGCGCTGCGCTTATCTCTGATAGTCAATTATGTCGTGGATCGACACATAAAATTAAATTTATTCTGTTGATTCAACATCAAAAATAAACCATCTACCCAGTTGTTGAGACGCTCATTGTAGACAAATAGAGTTTATCGGAGTTTCTTGTTAGTTGAGCTTTACACTAAGACTAGGTCATATTTTACTAATTATAGGAAATTCAATCCGGGGATGGTGAACCCGCAGCCAAAAAGCCTCGTAAAGAATATCGTTGTGACACTTGTGGCAAGACCTTCTCTCGTTCAGGAAATCTTAAAATCCATGTACGAACCCATACTGGTAAGAAACCGTACGAATGCAACCGCTGTGATAAGAAGTTTGCTGACAAGTCGGCTCTCAATCGTCACCTGAAAGCGCACGACAAACAAGCTGCCGAACGGACGTTTACTTGCGCAACCTGTGGCGAAAACTTTCACAACCACGCCCCTTACAACGTTCATATTCGCACCGCTCATCAACAACCCGCCGCTGCAACTAGAAAACGACCCGCCGCTAAAAACACAGACGCACCTGCTGCCAAAAAACACAAGAAGTCCGCTGATCCTGGTACTTCACCAACTACACCGCAAACCTCATCGCCCGGGTCCAGCTGGCAAAAAGATCCTGTTCTCATTCCTTCGAACCTTATTCCTGCCGCGGAGGAAAATATCACCGACACGTACCGTCAACACTGGCCCCAGATCCGTACCCGATTTAGTCGCCGTAACCGTTTACAAGACTGGTACAATTTCCGCCTGTCTTCGATCAGTCCTGCTTCCCTCCGCGAACAACTGAACCGAATCTTTGCTGATCAGCCTACAGTTTTCAAAATCAACTTTTCCTTTGGTTTTATTCTCCGTAACACAGAGACTGGGGCCCTCCAGTATCATCATCCATCCGCGAACAACCATTTGGTGCTAGAACAACCGTTCCTGATTTCAAGTCCAGACGATTTAGAGCGCCTATATCAGCAGATAGCGGAGATCGATTTCCTGGAGTAGGTGCGGCAACAAAGACCAAATTCAAAATGGGTCGTGGATCTCGTGACGAATGTGACCTGGTTTGTTTGGAAGATTCGAGACCACCCGATCGGCCGTGGCAAATATCTACCGGGTTATATCGTGGACAACACGGGAATCACCTCACTCGATCGCGATATCAGAAGAGGCAAGCCTTATGAAGACAACCTCTGCTTTTTCCGCTGCCTGGCTCTCCACAATGGTTGTCATACGAGGAATTTAGAGAGAGATACCCAGTACTATTACCAACAGTACCGATGCGCGGGGTTAGGAAAAAAGAAGTTCCATGGAGTCAAGTTGTCCGAACTAGACGACCTAGAAAAATTGTATGAAGTGAATATTCAAGTATACAGTCTCGCGCCTACTCAGAGCCACAGTGAAGACGAAGACAATGAAGAAAATACTACCGAGATTGCCGCCACCCTGCTTCGCCGCTCTCACCGCCACTACTCCAGCACACTCTACTTGAACTTGTACGAAAACCATTTCTCGTATATTAAAGACCTGGCCCGGTACAGTAAATCCTTCTGGTGTTTAAGATGTGGCAAGTACTGGAAACGCGCAAGTAATTTAAGGCAACATGAGAAAACCTGTGACGGTAAAGTCCAGCTCAAGTATCCTGGCGGCGCGTATCATGTCCCTAAAACTATCTTTGAAGAATTAGAAGACGAAGGTATTGTCGTTCCTGAAGAATGGCGGTACTTCCCTTACCGCACCACCTTCGATTTTGAATGTTACTTTGATAAAGAAAAAGCGCAAGAATTAAAGAACACTGAAAAGTTAACCTGGCAATCCGCCCATGTGCCCTTAAGTGTGAGCGTCTGCAGTAACGTGCCTGGTTACCAAGCACTCAAATGTTTCGTGTCACAGGGAGATTCAGACTTACTTCTTGAAGAGTTTGTGCAGTACCTCACAAGGATTAGCACCAAAAGTTCATCCCTACTCCGCCAAAGGTACGCAGAAGTATTTGAAGCTCTTGAAACCGCAAGAGGCCCGAATAACAGTGAACCTCACGAAGACCGATTAGCGCAAATTCTGGTAGACATCCAGGAGGGCAGTCAGAATTACAATGAAGTTGACAGTGAAGAAGAGAGCGAAGATCAAAGTAGCGACATTGATTTAATGGCGAGTGATAATGAAGAAGATGAAGAAGAAGAAATTGAACCGGAGAATGAAGAAGACCGCGCTTTTCTCGATGATGAAATACAAGAACAGGAAGACGTCTCCTTTTATAGAAGATTGAACGTTAAAGTGGACAGAGAAAGAAGACAGCAACTGAGACAGACGCGGGACCAGTTAGAAGAGTTACAAGATATTGTAGGTGGTTCAGAGGACGTCAGTGACCACAAAGTCCTCAGTCAACTAGAGGAGAAACTGAACGCCTATATACAAGAACTGCCCGTGCTAGGCTTCAACTCTGGCAAGTACGACCTGAATGCGTCCAAAGAATTCCTGTTCCCGTACCTCATCAAGCATCAGCCCGTCAAGTTTACTGTGAAAAGGAATAATAATCATATGTGTATCAAGACAGACTCTTAAAAGTTTCTGGACATCTCTAATTATCTCGCTCCAGGGTTCAGCTACGATCAGTTCCTGAAAGCGTACGAGTGCGAACAGACCAAGGGATTCTTCCCATACCAATGGCTAGACTGTTTGGATAAATTAGAAGAAACATCGCTGCCCCCTCGCGCTGCCTTCTACTCAAGTCTAAAGAACGCTAACATTACAGAAGAAGAATATGAGTACTGCCAGCAAGTATGGGAAGAAAATGAAATGTCCACCTTTCAAGAGTTCTTAATCTGGTACAATAATTTGGATGTCGTTCCTTTCCTCGAGGCAGTAGAGAAAATGAGTCAGTTCTGGCAGGAGAGAAAGATCGATATGTTTAAAGATGGTATTTCTGTCCCTGGTTTAACCCTCAAGTACCTCTTCTCTTATCTTTCACCTCAAACTTACTTCAGTCTCTTCGATCAAGCGAACAGTGATCTCTACCATCTGATCAAAGACAACAACACGGGCGGCCCAAGTATTATTTTCCACCGATATCATGAAGCCGGCAAAACAAAGATCAGAGAAGCAGAGGAAGGCGAGGCTGCTAAGCTGTGCGAGAAGATCGTGGGGTATGACGCGAACGCTTTGTACTTCTGGGCGCTCACGCAAGATATGCCCACGGGAAGTTATACGAGACGCCTGTCGGACAATGAGTTCAAACCGAAAAGTTCTGTACGCATGGCTATTGAATGGTTGGAATGGGTGGCGCACAAAGAGGGAATTCACATCCGACATCAGTTAAACAATACAGAAAAGCGCATCGGTGGTCGTAAACTGCCTGTAGACGGTTTCAACGCGCAGACGCAAACTGCGTACCAGTTTCACGGCTGTTATTGGCACGGCCATGACTGTGCTCTCAACCGAGGGAAAGAGTTTAACGAGAAACGAAACAAACCTATGACAGAACTGCTGGAAGAAACTAGAGCCAACACGGAGTATATCCGCAGCAAAGGGTACAACGTGGTGGGAATATATGAATGTCAGTGGAGAGAAATGAAGAGAACCAACCGAGAACTCCGGCGTTTTATTGCCACCGAAGTGAGAAGAACCCTGGATCAAGTCAAGATCATGAGTCCCGAGCGAATATTGAGCGAGGTGCGACATGAGCGTTTGTTCGGGTGCGTGGAAGTAGATATTCGTGTACCAGATCACTTAAAGGAAAAGTTTAGTGAAATGTGCCCGATCTTCAAGAACAAAGAAACCAGCCGCGATGATATTGGTGAATTTATGAAAGCGTACGCCGAGGAGCACAACATCATGGCTCAAACCCGTCGCAGTTTGATTGGGAGCATGAAAGGAGAAAAGATCCTGCTGGCCACACCCCTCCTCAAGTGGTACCTGGAACGTGGTTTAGAGGTCACGAAAGTGCACCAAGTGATCGAGTTCACCCCTCAACCCTGCTTCAAACCTTTTGGGGATGCGCTGTCAGACGCGAGGAGAGCCGGAGATGCGGACCCCAGTAAAGCCATCATTGCAGATACCATGAAATTGGTAAGTTTTTTGTTTCATTCTTTCATTCATAAAGGGGTGGGAACAATATTCATTTTCACGTATAGAAAAAACTTATATCTTTGTTTATCTCTCAGGTGGGCAATTCAGGCTATGGTAAGACGATCACCAACCAACTGAAACACAGAAACGTGGAGTATTGCAGTGACGCTCAGGCGAGCCGAAAAGTGAACACCCACCTTTTCCGTAAACTAGAAAACATCACTGAAGATACTTATGAAGTGCAGTCTTGCAAAAAAATCCATTGAATTAAATCTACCCATTCAAGTAGGCTTTTTTGTGTACCAGTATGCCAAACTTCGCATGCTACAGTTTTATTATGATTTCTTAGACAAATATCTAAACCACTCAGATTTCCAAATGTGTGAAATGGATACGGATTCAGCGTACATTGCCATTTCAGGGGATAGTGTTGAGTCTTTGGTCAAACCAGAATTGAAAGCAGAGTTCGAAGCTGATAAATGTAACTGGTTTCCCCGTGCCGACACTGCGGAGCATAAGGCCTATGATAAGAGAAAGCCAGGTCTTTTTAAAGTTGAGTGGGCGGGACAAGGAATCGTGGGCTTATGTTCCAAAACCTACTACTGTTTTGGGGCCAAAGGTAAGTTTAGTTGTAAGGGTGTCAATAAGAAATGCAATGACATTAACAAAGATAAATACCTTAATGTCTTACTTACAAAACAAAATAGTGCTGGGGTGAATCGAGGGTTCAGAGTTGTAAATAATACTATGTACACTTATACCCAGGTCAGAGATGCCTTTTCGTATTTTTACCCGAAACGTAAAGTTTTGGTTGATGGAGTTAGCACCACTCCACTCGACATTTAAAGTGTTCAAGTTTGTAAAAAATGGATTTTGTAAATAATTTTCGTTTTCTCAAGTTTGAATATATATTACTCTCAAAAAAGTTTTCCGAAATATTTATATAAGATCGCCTCTAGTTGTAAATATTTTTTTGCGTAGCTTTTTACGGATGTTTGTACATAGGAAATTAGTTTGTAAATAAATCATTGGTTGAATTTAATCGTGGCTTGTTTCCTGACTCGACGCGCACGACTTACACGCGAGATCTCCACGCGCGCCCAGGGGAAAAAACACAGGGCTAAAAAGATGCCCTTTCTGCCCTTTCTGCCCGATCTGCCCTTGAAAATCAACAATAAATTTCGTGTCGCAAACAGTTTTACTCAGTTGGTATCTAACATTCGTCCTGTCAGCATGAAGAAACTAAAATGTAAACACTGCCCCATACCGGGATGTCGTTCTAAATTCTTAGTTCGATTAGCAAATCATTTAACTCAAGTCCACGAGTTATCGGACATAGAACGAAAATATTGGCTTCAATTTGCAAAATTACAAAATACCAATGCGATTCGTGTGTATGACAAGGAGGGTGAACCCAAAACAATTTTTTTTTCTATAAATGAGAGTACGCACAAATCAGTTAATCAGTTGTGATCATGGACCCGAGATGGAAACATCCTTTCCCCGCGCTTGTGGCCGGACCGACCTGTTGTGGGAAAAGTCAGTTTGTAAAACGTTTACTAGAAGCAGGAGAAGACATGATTGATGGTGCCCCGAAAAATATCATCTGGTGTTATAGCATGTATCAACCAGCCTACGATGAGATGCTTAAAACTATTCCGAACATTATGTTTGTTGAAGGAGTGCCTGGTGATCTGGAAACCCTAATTAATCCCTCTATGCGGAATTTAGTCGTCATTGATGACTTAATGCACGAGCTTAGCAATGATCAGCGAATGACTAATTTGTTTACCAAGGGCTGTCACCATCGCAATCTCAGCGTGATCTTTATTCTCCAAAACATGTTTCATCGTGGAAAAGAACTGAGAGATATGAGTTTGAGTTCTCATTACTTAGTAGTGTTCAAAAGCCCGCGGGATAGCAGTCAAGTCAGTCATTTAGCAAGACAAATGTTTCCCGGCCATGTCAAATACATGCAAGAAGCGTTTGAGGATGCGACAAAAAGGCCCTATGGATATCTATTTTGTGATCTTAAACCGGAAACACCTACCGACTTCCGGCTGCGTACGAATATTTTCCCCGGGGAGACTCAGTACACTTACGTCAGAAAAGTATAAAAAGCGTGAACCACATCAAATTTCTTCAGTTGAGGATGGCACAGCGACTTAGAAAGAACCACGATTTTCTGAAACTGCTTGTCAAGTGTACACCAGCTCAGCGTAAAGCCATTTTGAAGGTGGCAGACGACGCTTTAGTAAGAACCATTTGTGCGTGTGTTTTAAACGTGCTTAAAGGAACAGTGCCTGTCAGTAAGCCAGCCAAGAAAAAACTTTTACCTCACAAGAAATCTTTGATCGCCTTAGCCGAAAAACGTACACCACTCGATAAGAAAAAGAAATTGTTGGTACAACACGGAGGAAATTTTTTAAGTGTTTTGCTACCTCCCGTTCTCCGTGTGTTAAGTTCGATTCTTACCTAAAATGAATCACACAAAGCGTATGGTTCTCGTGCCCGAGAACACCTTGGAAAGATTACAGCAGCGCCAGCAGATTTTAACCCCACCCGTCACACAAACTCTGAGAAACTTGGATAGTGAAATGACCGATATTTTATCCAGTAAAGAACTTGATGATGAACAAAAAGCTGGGCTTTACCATCAAGTGTTGCAGCGGTACTTGACTTATTACGATCAGCGAAAAGGTCAACCTCTTCATGTGAAAATATCAACCCCCAAAGCAGTAAAAACACCTAAACCAGAAGAAAATGAACAACCTTCGGAAGAACCTGTCCCGGAAAAATTCACTTCATCAGCCGTAGAGGCAGAGGTCATGAGAAGTGTACCCAAAATTTACAAAGCCGGGGCTAGACAATTGTTGGATAAAATTAAAGAGCATCAAGATGTATTGCATTGGAATGATAAAGGAGAGCTTTTGTATGAAACCAAACCCATTCCAGGTTCTCATCTGGTGGACCTAGTCAACGACACATTGCGCCATCGCAAAGGATTTGAACCAGTAGGATGGTCGGTGTTTGCGAGGGGTCTGGCCCGAATGAATGTCCCGGAAAATCTAGTGCGTAATCCACAGAGGCAAAGTGCTGTTCGAGAATTTAAAGCAAGAGTGAGAGACGAAACCCCTAACAGTCCTTCCCGTTGGCTACCTAGCCCACCTGTGACGGTATCCCCAGTGAAAAAACAGCGGCGAAGAAATGCGAGTCCACGCCCTGAGGCTGTGCGCTGGTTACGGTTATAAAATCACCACAAGACACATTATTATTATTATTATTGTAAATCATCTCTTTATTTTGTTCACTCAATAAAAGATGTTGAAAAGAAATTACAAGGTGTTTATTTATTGAACTTTGTGCTGAGCTTGTGCTCTTTGCTTGTTTACATCAGTGCGATATTTCGGAAGACTTATAGGAAAATGTTTTTCAATAAATCGCTTGACAAGACTATCATTTTTACGTGTGTTATTAGAAAAACGATGCACAATTGTACTCATACTTATTTGCCGACTACGATATAAAGCAAAATACAAACAGTAATGTCCGCAGACTTTGGAATAGATGCTCTGTAATGTCACAGTATTAAAAATCCACTGGTTAGAATTGTTGTTTAAAAAGGTAGTAAATGTTCCTGAATATTTGCTGGGAGGTGCTCCGTAAGAATCGAAAAATTCTCCCTCTTGCTCCTTGGCGAAATAAAACGCCACCCAATGCGAACCTGGCTTGTCACTCGTATCCACATTGGCGATGAATAGGGCTGGGTATTGCGAAACACTCGCAGGCAGCTTGTCTGAGGGATACACGCCTTGAAACACACCTCGTGTAAATTTATCCTTTCTCAAAATAAGGGTCAGTTGAATGGTGTCCATTTCTAGTTTGTGTAGTCGTAGAGAACGTTTCGCTTTGCGTCGACCTCACTCACGTTTTGAAATTCAGCGTAGACGATAAGGTTCACCGTGTTGGCGAGTGCTTCCGAGAAATGAAGCTCCAAGCGCAGGTTTCCTTGTTTTATGAGCTCAAAATGATCTCCCGGGCAGTGATCTGGGGTCAAATCAAATGCGAATAAGGTATAACCGGAGCCGTAATCACTTCTATTTATCTGATTGCCCGTATCCTGGGAAAGCTTTCCAATACCAGAGAAAAGACTTTGATAGCCGGCTATCACATTTTGACCACCAGCGGCGTCAAACTTCAGGAACAAAGGTTTTCGGGGGATTTGTTCTCCGTCCACGCACACACCCACTTGAGTTAAATTGTGGTGATTGAAGTTCAACGGGTTGGTACTGTAACTCCCATTGTAAGCCTCTGTGTCCACTAATCCCAATACTATGCGCTTGGGAATTTGACCCAAAAAGATGTTGTCAGGGTTAAAACTGCTAAATCCTCTTGGAATAGAGAGTACTTTACAGTCGATTCTGCGAATGGGGTACTTGGCGCTGGAGTGTTTTAGCCCAGCTGCATGGCCTAGAATGATAGAGGAGGCAACCTTGACTCTGCGTACAAACAAGATGGCTTCTGTGATAACCACTTTGAAATTAGCTGCGGCTGCTGAGGACACAAGACAAAACACATTCTTGGCTCGGTTCAGTTTGATTCTTAAATTAACTCCATTGAGCATCAATCGGTCTTGAAAGAATATATCACTGTGAATGGGTCCCATCATATCCACCATATGACTCTCTTTGGTAAACTCATAGCGAGCCTTTAATCCAAGGTTTGCTTCATCGTCTGCAGCCAAGGGGTTCACTACATTCATCTTTCCAGCAGTATCTTTGTAAAACATGGCCATAGAAAGTTGACTTGTTTTTGCTTCTTCTCCGTAGTTTAGCAAGGTTTCGATCATGGCGCGATAAGGGTAGGTATTGGTGGATGGAGAGATCAATCGCTCGTTCAAGGAAACGTCCACTAGCGAAAAAAGGGAATGTAAAAACAGGTTTACGGGACCCACTTGTGTATCGGCATCTAACGCGGTTCCGTTTACTTTCGTGATCTTAGCTTTCACATAACGTTGTGTTCGCGCTAAATCTAAATATTCTTCTCCGGTTCCAGATACGTTAAATTCAATAGGACCAGTGTCTGTGATGTTGCTGAGAGGGTGATATTCAATCCATTGCCCTTTGTGAATAGAGGTTTGTGTCGCAGGAATAGTAAAAAGATCGAGCTCTGATTTAGTACACTCGCGTGACTCGTGATGTACAAAGGCCATAGTTACTTCCAGAAAGAATATTTCTCTTTGGGCTTCTTTTGCTGCGGAGATGTTTTTACTTTCTGATTTTGGTTCCTTGCGCTTTCCTTTTCATAGATTTTTTGCCAGCTCCTGATTGTCCCTGCAATGAATTCTGGGAGGGTAGACCGAGGGCTTGTTTCGTGCGCTTGTGGACTGCTGTTTTAATGTTATCTCCATCAAGAACATCTTGGGCAACATTGACTCCTGTTTGTAAAGCCTTTTTTCCAATCACCTTAGCACCTTGTTGCAGGTGAGGTATCGCCCAGCGGAACAGACCTTTAAATATGGATCCTAAGCCATAACCTCGCTGAAATCGAGCTCCGTGAAATGCGGGTAAATTTCCACCTTTTTGCTTGGCTTGATCTACATAGTACTGTTCGTAAAACTTATGATTTGGGGCGTGGAGTTTTTTCATTTTTTAAAAGTACTGAGGTTGACTCTGACAAAAATGAAGTGTTAACAACACTCTTCCAAACTCAAATGGCACAGATTCCCCTGTGTCTCACTTTATATTGACTTCGATGGTTTCAAATTGCTTTCTGCTGACAGGTAAATATTGAGGGCGCACAAACGATTTACTGACTCGCTGGCCGTCCTCTCCTTCTACGGGAACAATTCGAAGCAAAGGGACCAGTGCATCACCAACATATTGTGACTGAATAAGATCACAGTAAACGAAAAGATCGTGAAAACCGTATTCCAAATCCACTTGTCTGTCGCCCGTGGTGGTCTTTGAAATAATTTGTTCGGGAGTGAACCCCAGCAAATAGGCCATATCATTTAACGAGACTTCTGCGTTGTTTTTCAAATGAACTGTAATCTTTCTGCTGAGACTATCGTATGAAAACCGAACATCATCTGTATACCGATTTTCATTGTCCACTAACTCTTTCATCTTTGATAAGATATCTTCAATGGAAGAATAATGACCCGAAAGCATCTCCAGGGAGTCCCAAACACCGTGGAGTTTTTCATTTCGCTCGTAAAATCGAAGCCGTTGAATATTATTCCAACTATGCGGATAATGGATCTCGGTCAAAGCCACTTCCCATTCGCCTGTGAGGTTTAGGGTTTGTGGTAAACTAACTCGGTACTCTGTTAATGTGTTATGAGGAAATTTATCGAGGCTGCTATTGCTAGGGAGGTGCAGATAAAACTGTGTTACCTCCATCGTTTCGTGTGTTCAAATTTACTTTTTAATCTGGGTATTCTTAATTTATTAGAAACCACACACCATTCATTTTATTATTTCCTTTTCTTTTATTCACTAAATAAAAAACATAAATTACAACTTCAAAATATCACTTTCTTGAACCCAGGATTCAAATTTTGGGTCTTCGTATCCTTTCCATCTCACAAGATACTCTACTACTCCTTTACGCTTTCTCTTACGCAAAATCATTTCAACGCGGTACACATCATCATTCTTAATAATTTTCTGCAATTCAGGCTCATAAAATGTGCCATCTAAGATTTCACCTGCATCATCTTTTAGTTTATAAACGGGGACTTGACGAGCCATTCGCTTGTAAACGGTAAAAATTTCTTCCGTGAAATTAGGTAAGTACGATTTTTCAAACGTTCTCTTTACTTTGCTGATACTCACGCGATCTCCCACTTGAAATTTATATCGCACAGGCTTTTGAACATCATCCCCATACAAAGTATCCCACACTTGAGCTTCGTTCTTTTTAGTTACCTGACTTGGTTTCATTTTAATACTTCGGTGGTAGGTGTTATTGTAAGAAGATACTAACTGAGGTAATACATTGATATAGGTGAGAGTGTTTTTGGCCGTGAAATATTTGTACATCTTGTTCTTAAATGTTCGGTTAAAACGCTCAACCACTGAGGCTTTGAGCCCAGAGTTAACAGTAAAAAAGTCAATGTTGTTATCACGCAGAAATTTCTGGAACACACGATTCAGAAACTCTGTTCCTTGATCCGTCTGCAGTTTAGTAGGTTTGCGACCAGTAGAAAGGATCTTTTGAAAGGCTTGGACCAGTTCTTGACCTTGTTTTGTCTTCAAAGGTAACACAAAAGCGTACTTGCTGAAGATATCTACACAAGTCAGTAAGTATTTGTAACCCTTGTTGTAGCGACTGAGGTTTTGAAGATCGACCAAATCCGCTTGAAATTGGGCATTTATTCCAGGAACGATGACTCGACTTCGCTTGTAGCGTCTTCGTGCGGGCTTGTGAAGAGTATAAACATCTTGCTGCCTCAACCAATCTCGGACTTGTTTACGCGATATCTTGTTCTTTCCTTTCTCTTTGACTGCTCTGTAAACAGCATCTAAACCACCGAAACTTGCGGGTTGGCTTGGGTCGAGATAAATGCTGGTCAGTGCTTTCTCCATCACAGAACTCGGAATTTTGTACAATAACTTGACCCCCGCAACAGGCTAATACGCAACGAATGCGGTTGAAAATGCTCTAATACCAGAGAGGGTGAAGATGGCCAGCAACCCATTACTAGTGATTGCTATGAAGGTTCAAAGCTGAATGATTTCTTTTTTCTTCGTGTTTACTTTTATATAGCTACTCTCGAATCTGGGTAAGAGTGGGCACGAGAAAATTAAATAATAGTTCCCATTCCTCCTCGGTTAATTCTAGCTGATCCGCGAAGTTCAAAAATACCACCAATCGTCCCCAGTTTACTTTTGAAAAGACCTCAGAGTGGAGTTTTTTCAACTTTTCTAGACTCGAACCCGGCATATCTTTAACTTTTTGTTGAAGCATTTCCATTTCACTTGAAGACACTTTCAATGTTTTGGCTTGTGCGCGATACAGAGAAAAGTCGACTCGAAGCAAAGACAGAGAAAGCCCCATCTTGACTAAGACAGAGACAAACACACACTGACTCACAATTTAGATATAAACTAATTTTATTACTTTTAGAAACAAAGCTTATTTTGAATGTCATTAATTATCAAGTCAAGATCCATTGGTTGTTCATCTTTCCTCACAACTCTCTCAGGGCATTGCACTTCAACTTGGCTATCAATGTCCACAGCACTGGGATCTTTGCACTTCAGTCCACAAGGTCCGTAGTAAATAGCATACAGAATTCGATCTTCTAACTCACCATAATCTTCGAGTTCCAAGGAAGTGAGATAGATGTTAGTCCAAGGCAACTTTGGTAATTCGGTCACGTACGTTTCCCACGTTTTGCCAAGTTTGAAACCAAGAGCACTGCACACACTTTCAGCCGTTTTTAAGATAACATTGAGGTCAATTTGTTCCACCACTTCATCATGGTAATACATCCATGCGTCATCATTATCCATCATCAGGCAAGAATGTTGGTTTTGACTTGGGTGTTGAATAGCACAACCGTGGCAGCGATTCAGCTTTTCTGCTTGGATGAGTTTGTCAACCGTAGCCGCATAAGTCAGTTGGAACACATGGCCGATAAGGCTAGCTACGCGTTGACGTTGGACTTTTTCCACTTCATCTACTGTCAGAAGCGGTGTAGCACTCGATTCGACTTGCATGTTTGGAGTAATGTTTTAAAAAATATTGGTGATAATAAGACTTTTTCCTTAACAAAGCGATTGCAAGAATAAAATGCTGAACGGAGAGCGCGCTTTTATGTTGAACACATAATGGATTGTTTACTATCCAATCAGGGTTACAAGATCCCGGGTAAGTTTGGGCCGGCCTATTGTTCCTATTGTAGTAGAGTGACGCTCATTAGTAAACCTAATCCAAATTAGTATGTAGGTTATAACAATTAGTATGCAGGAAGACACTTATACATATTAATAAAGGGAATCCACTTTTTCCCCAGGTTATAACAATCGGTGACGTCATAGACTAGACCTAGCTAGACCGTGCTAGACACTAACGGGGCTTATCTTTGCTGAAGCCCTTCTACTATAGTTGCAAATCTCTTTTCCTAGACGAAGGAGAGGTAAAAGTCAGAATGTATGGTGAGGAGTTTGATTCAAGTCAATTATCCGAACTGGCTGCCTCGGAATTACCAGATTGCGAAGGGATTGTTGTAGACTGCCTGCCTTTAACAGCCTCATAACTCAAAATTCTATTTTGCGAGGTTGTGTTTTTTCCCCCCATCGATTAGGACAAATTGTGTGCGGTTTGTAAGGTACGAGTGAAACCAGTCTTAAGAGCAGTACCACAAATTGAGAACCTAGAGTCAAGTCTTTTAAGCAGAATGTCGTGGTCGATATCACCCTGATTTGTAATAAACAACAGGATGTGTAATATCAACCCGATTTGTAATAAAAATCAACGTGATATGTAATAACAACAGGATTTGTAATCAATTTGTAATTTGTAATAAGTAATGGTAACAGGACTGAGTGGAGTCCAATTCGGTCTGTAATCATACGAATGATTAACGGCAAAATCGGACGACCGCGTAGCGTGAGTCCGATTTGTTTAATCACGAGTATGATTACAGACCAAATTGGACGACACGAAGTTCTGTTACCAATTAATGATAACTTTAACAAAATTTGTGATGTAATAGGCTATTTTTTAAATCAAAACACAAGAAAGTCGAAATTTTGTTTTCCTAGCAGTGAAAAAAAAACAATTGGCGCGCGCGTGATGGCGCGTACTGTCCAATTACTTAGGCATGACGCGTACTGTCCTATTAAACTGACCAATTAAGGCTGAAATCAGGGCAGTTGATAGCCAATCAGATTTGACAATTTTGTTATAGTTATGATTAAATAACTAACTGGATTGTGACTAACTTTCAACCAGATTTGTAAACATTCTTACCCGGATTTCTCGTAACTTAGTATTCTTAACAGGATTTGTAATAACGCTGCGAAAGGTGAGTCACTTATTTTTATACTGTCTTGATGTGCTTAGTAATCATGTTGCTCAGTTTCCTTGACGTAAGAACTACTTTCTTGTTCGATGGCCTTTCAAAGTCTAAAATACAGTGGACAGCAGCTAGAGTGTTTCGAGATAACCGGGTCGTTGACTGATAAATTAAAGGCGGTGTTTTCTCCAGATCTGGTCAACAAGATCCAAAAGGTTAATACTTTTGTGAATTGGGATGTTGACATTTAAGGCGTTTAGATTGAAACAACTTAAAGGTCAAATGAACCAAAAAATTGACATATTTTCTTTTGTCGCTTTACCTTCACCAAACACTAAAAAGAACCATCCTAAGTGAGATTTGGGTAAAGATTTTTCTTCCCAAGCCTTTATAGAAAGATAAAAGATCAAAATCCCAGCATTTCCGAAAACTTCACGAAAACGTTTCTGAAATGGCCGCGTGATAGACTGGAGACTAAGTGACGTCAATGTTGGTCTTTCAGGGCGGAAAAACGTTCTGCGCAAGCTTCTGCGCATCGCTTATCGCCTGCGTTTGTTTGTCTCGTTCTGTGAGAGTTCTGACTGAGACTGAATGAAATACACGAGGTGCGAACGTTTG